CTATAAATACAAATATGTTCCTATTCTTTCATGTAAGCAACTGTTGCAGTCGCCACAAGAATATTATGTGATCAGGCAAAGATATGGTTTATTTAATAATGAATGAGAGAAAAGGGTGGTGCACAGAGTTTGGGATGCAAGCCACACTATGGAAGTGTACTTAAGAATTTTCACTATATTGGAAGAAATGCAGCATTCTGGTTTAACATCAGTATTTGGGAAGTTTCTCAAGTAAGTCTATTAGCTTGGGCTCCATCTGCTGGCTCTTTAACAGTCCAAGATAAGCCAACATAAAACTTTTGAATGCCTGCACTGAAGTCTGTCGATTTGAAGGAGTAGCAATTAAGTTCCTGGTGCTGTTAAGATCACAAACAGCTATTATGAGATCCTCAGAATACTTAACTAGTGCATGATGCATCAGATCAGCCCCCAAAATTGGGATACATTTGTCCTCACACATCATACAAGTGACATGGCCACTCTTAAACCATGAGCAGTGCACATATTGTGTTGTAGTGCTTGAAACAGTTAAAATTCATATTTCCTTTTTGCATCCCTTTTGTTACTAAACTTTCTCCTTCAGTTACATTTCACTTTACTTGCATTAATGTGAGGGGAACCTTGCATATCTGTACATCTTGGGAGATACTAGGGACAGTGTACATGGAATACAGTCCCTCGTGTTATTTTTCATGTCTTGGTAGTCTGGATATGGTAGCTCCTGTAATTTTGAGCCTACATATGCCTCCACATATTCCATAGAACAAGTACATTCATTTACTGGGTTACTGCTATTAAATTTGTGAAAATGCTTTCTTAGTTATGTATTTTTCAGAAGCATTTTACACAGGTGCTGTCCCTTTCACTTAAAAATTCTATGTGAACACTTCTATTAAACCAGTTAACTGTTAATGTAGGAAGCTCGTGCTTCCTACCTTCCCTCCTCAGGTGTGGCAGGGGCAGCAATGAACTGCCTTAACTGCTGTTGGGCACCAAAGAACTAGTGGTGGAAGAGTGGATAGTGAAGTGCTTAGACCAGTGATTGTAGCTTTCAAACACATGGAAAATACCTTGTGGGAATGTAATGAAAAATTCTGCTGCAGTGTGCTTAGACTGCAAAAACAAGAGCTCTAAATTTCTTCTGATTTAACAGGAGCAAGCAAAGGCTTAAAATCTTGCCAATTATACCAGATGCACCAGCTCGAAGAACGTTTAATAAAAGTTTGGTACCATGTGTGTTAGCAAGTGCCAACATTACCTAAAATAGACAGGCCTTTTAAACACAAACTCACCATACCACTATCACAGGAGAGTTGTTTTTTTTAAAAACTGTGAATCAACATGCTTCAACCTGCAAATTTGTAAATTACCACTGCAATCTTTCAAATAAGACATTGCCTTAAATGCCTGGTAAGTCAGCTTTAGCACACCTACAGAATGCATTACCTACCTGGTTGTAGTTCCCCCTGTTGGGCATTCCACCTCTGTTATAGTTTCCTCTGTTTGAGTAACCACCTCTGCTTGGAAAGACAGGGCCACGAGGGTATGGATAGCCAATTGCCCCACCGCCACCACCGCCACCACCACCGCCACCTCCTCTCTGAGGCATATTGCCACCTCTCCTGTTGTATCCACCACGGTTCCCAGGGACTGTGGAAGAAAAAACAAAAACATGCATTTGTTAGACAACTCTTTCTTATATGAAAACTATTGTCTGATATAGCAGACATCTCTCAAATCCTAGGATTTACACATACTACATTTTTAAGGAAGATTTGTTTTTGCCTAATGGATTTGGATGCCAAGCCCACTGGCTTCAAATGAAAAAGAATGCCTGAATAGGAAATTTCTGATACCTATCTAATTGATTAAAACATCCAGAGACACCAATGTACTGCAAAACCAAAACACCAAATCCAAATGTGAAAATTCAGCAGCAGTGTCCTTGACAAGCCATATGAATACAGTATAGGATCTCTAGTTCCCTCTTAAATTAGTCCATAATTTAAGTTACCCAGTCTACCGTTCATTAGCCCATTCGTTTATAAGCCAATCCCCCAAAATGGATTAAGTAAAAATAGCAAAAACTGCATGACCCTTTCATAAGCCGACCCTATATTTCAGGGGTTGGAAAACTTTGGCTCCCAGCCCGTCAGGGTAAGCCACTGGCAGGTCGGGATTATTTATTTAAAAACTTGGACTGTTCCGAGGCACGGAACCCTTCAGCTCCCCGTGGCCACGGTTCGCCATTCCCAGCCAATGGGAGCTGCGGGAGTGCCACTTCAGGGAGCTGAGCGGCTCCGTGCCTGTGAACGCTCCAGGTAAACAAAACGACAATGTATTAGATATTCAATTCAATGATTCCATAGTTTAAAGTCATCAAATTTTGGTGTAGACCTGTTTATAAGTCGACCCACGCTCTTTGATGTGTCATTTTTACCAAAAATATTCGGCTTATGAACAAGTATATATGGTAGTTGGCAAAATATTTTGCTAATGTCTTGACTTCCTCTTCAAGTATATTTGGAGTTGAAGTCAAGCTTTCCCCAGCATAAAGGTAATGAACCAGTTACAGTCAAAGGTTAACACCAAAGCCAGAAATGACTATAAAGTTAACAGGTCTGTTTCTAGGCCTACCTCCTCCCCTGAAGTTGCCGCGCATGTTGAATCCTCCACGTCCTCTCTGGCCACCTCTGTTAAACTGATTTTTACCACTTTTTTTGTTGCTCTTCTTTGAGCCAGTATTCTGTTTCTTTTCAGGAGGAAGAGATTTTTTACTTTCTTCTTTATATTGTTCCAAGAGCTTCTCAGCCTCCTCTTTCTGTAATTCTACATAGGTTATTTCATCAAAACATTCTGCTACCTCCGGCAGTGTGAAGTTTCCTATAAAGGAGAAAACCCTGGATGTTCAGAATACCCATTGAGATAAAATTAAACCCTTTACTCACTCCTCCTCCAAGAGCAGGGACAAAATTCCAGAAACCGAATCACTGAATATGAAGACAAAACTGAGGAGCGGTAAGTGAAGCAAACAGTTCACCAAGAAGTTGCTAATACTATCCAAAGCTAGAAAATATTCTGCCTATTAATTTTTTGAAACCTGCACTCAGAACAAACATCAATGTCTGCCAAGCATGTTTAATTTTTTTTTTTTTTTATAAATAGGGCACTTTATGCCACGACAGCTTTGTGCATCTGCATGGAGCATATCAGCATGACTGAGTAGTGTTAAGGACTGCAGCAGAGGGAACACACAATATAGTGTTGTCTTACAAAGCTACAATAGTCTTCCAGTTTCTAGGTTTTAGTGTAACTGTTTTAAGGTAAGCAAATTTGAAGTCTAAAAATTTACATTATCCCTTTAAACAGATACTCAACATCCTAAAACACAGTATAGGATTATGTTCCATGCCTTTCATTTTGAGAACTGCATGCTCTGGAAGATCTTTTCCCTCCACCTCTGCCTTCTTTTGTGTTCTTTGCTTGTAGTCTTCATCTTTTGGGCAAACAACAACTGCTTTGCGCTGGAAGCCTGCAAACAGGCACATTTTTCTCCTCTGCGCAGCTGCAGACACATTTGTCTGAAAAAAATGCAGTAACTTACTACACGTAGCTGTCATTGTCAGAACTAAAGGAAGTTAAACTTATGGTGTATAAATTTCATCTCTACAAGAGCTTGCAATGACTTTTACATGTAAGTGGAAGGAAAGATGTAGCATGGTGCAACTTTACAAAAATCTTACACTCTTTGGATGTGAACACTATTTCCCTCAACACCCCACAATTTTGGAGAAAGCTTAAATTATGACATATGAAGTGATTAAAAATGCTTGTAGTACAGTTCAACCTTTGGCCTCCTCAATGAGGTAAGCAGGAAAAGTGGAAGAGCGCAACAAACAGCTGCTAGATTCTAAACCTGAATCCCACTTAGTTATTGCCATTCTAATTTAAAAATTAAATTTCATACACTGTAACTTATACCTGATCCAAAATGAAGTTCCGCTTTTTACGAGCGGCAATCTCAATGAACTTGCCAAGACACTGTGGAGCTCTCTGCAACAGTGTGTTAAGTTTTCCAGTGTCAGCCATCTGCCGCTTAAAACCTGCAACCTACAGAAACATATTCCAAAGTTATAGTAGTACTCCTCCTGTTGCTGACCTATTCCTTTGTTAAGTGCTTTTATCTGGCATTGAAGGCTTAATTTTTTTTAAGCCAAGTGAAGCATTGCAAACTTATTTGAATTGATGTTCTTAACAATATCCCACAAAAGGAACACTAATTCTTTAAAAAGTCTGCTATGGCAAGTGAGCAATATTCCTCTTTATACTCACTACAGACATCATCCAAAAATAATAATTACTGCATTACAATGCATGTCAGAATTTAGAGGTGTAACCCATCCTCAAGTATTTTTGTCCTGTATTGCTTTTTAAGATATTTCATAACTAGGTCAACCAAAGAAATCTGATTTCTACTAAGAACATATACTACATAAGGTTTAGAAGCCTGCTGTAATTCATACTATATTTACTTTGTTTAGTCAAAATTCCTTAAGCCTCCCAAAACCCAAAGAACTATTCAATACTTTGACATTTAAGATCACAAATAGTATGGGAAAGAACAAAAATCCAAGTGAGCTTTCAACTTTTATAAATCTACTGACAGACCTCAGTCCTGCCACTACTTACCATCATTTTGTCCATAATTGTATTTGTTCCAAGGATATTGTATTTTCCAGGGTTTTCTGCTGCATGTTTGGAAACCCATGTAGTCTTCCCAGCTCCAGGCAAGCCAATCATCATTACCACCTATTATGACATGGTTTAGATTGTTATAGTTTAAGTGGAATGCCAAATATAGAAGCTGTGCTAATTGGCAACTTATCAAAAAATGTTGCCATAATTATGCCAATTATTGCTTTACTGGTTTCATTTAGTTAAATATGGAGAAACATCTGAATGGATCCAAATTGGTAAACTTTATAAAATTTAACGACTTTTAACATCATACGTTACTTGTTTCGAGAACTAGTATCCACACAGATGGCCAAAACTAGTTGTGTGTAGTAAGATTTTCAATAGGATTACTGCAATTAGATTAATATGCTTTAAAAAACCATTAGTTCTTTTGAAGAAAACTATCACACTTACTTCACAGTCTTTCTTTTGTTCAGGTCCCTTTGGTCCTCTAACCCGATCTTCTAATGGAACCTTCTGAATGAAGCTATACTCTTCAGGTATGGGAAAGTAGGGTTCATCCTTCTGACCAAAGTTGAATTCAATTGCACAGTTATGGCAGAGAACATGTGGGAAGAGTGGTCGCCCATCAAGAACTTCCTTACTGATTTTGAATGCAACACCAAGATCCTGCCCATTCTTGGAATATGAGAGTTCCACTTCATCACCTTCAAAATTCTGTTAATATATGAAACAAAGTTTAACTTGCACTAGTATAAAGACCAAATTAGTAGGAATCCAAGTACTCTGTACATAATCACTTCAAGTTTCCTTTTATCAAGAGTTCATGATGGAATCTCAGTTTCCATTTTTTGTCCGCAATACAAGTAACCAAACTTAATCTTATTTAAAGTTTTGCTAGACATAAAAAAAAATGCAGCCCTTAAGGTAAATGTAGATAAAAGTTATCAAACTTTGTACAATGTCAATGTCTTCCATACAGGCTTTAACTCAGCTAAACATGCATCAAGTAATGTACCAACACTAAGAAAATTAACCAGAATGTTTAAGATACAAGTATCTGGCTCCAGTTTTTTAGAATCAGGTCAGCCTTTCCCACATAACTAAGCCAGAAAATTCAAGTTTCAAAAACATAAAAATAGTGGAAAACTTACAGCAAAACACGCAATCACATCATTTTCATCAAACTTCTCACCAAAGTCTTCAGTCTCACAATTGCATGTCTTTATTCCTTTTAGAGAATATCCATAAGAAAATTCTTCTTCACCTGGTGAAAGAAAAAGACAACTTAAAAACTACAGTGACTAGCTACAATCTTGTGTTCTAGATTAACTACTTTTAAAGGAGTTGTCAACATTCTTAAAAAAAAAAAAAAAAAAAAAAAAATATATTCATTCAAATGAACTGTGCTGTGTCTCATTTTGCATTTACTTCACCACAGGCCATTATCTAGTAGGAGTTCCAAAACAAGAGGGGGAAAAAAAATGCAGCTAGACATCAAAACAAATAAATCAGATATTCCAAATTACTCTAAGGCCATCTGTTTTCCAGCATTTTGTTCTTTTAAATATTTCTAGTATTAAAAAAATTTAGATCATAGATTGTTACATCCTTGAAGTTCTTGGCCTTCTCTACTCACTCTAGTAATGAGCTACAGTTCCTGAATTCTACCTTACGAACTGTCAAAATGGACTACATCTTTAGTTTTTAAAACACATTTGACTTTTACTGAAACGAATTAGATGGCAGCTAAGAACTATCTTTAAGAAGGAGCCTATACCATCACCAGATGCTGCTCCAAATTACTATTCATTCAATAGTGAACATTTCAACAAGCGCAGTAGACAGGTATTAAAACTTTATCTTAAATTCTGAAAAATAGTTTGTACACCAGCACACCTTTAAAAATACTAGTTTACAGCTGCTGCAGCAGAAACAGATGGAACTCAAACGTTCTACAAAGATGGCGCCTCACCAACAATGGTGGGTGTTTAAATATTTAGACAGCAGAATACTAGGAGAATAATTTCCTTTCATCCAGTAGAATATTCTTCCCTCCTACCCACTTTCAAAAGTGAAAGAATTTTGGTAGCATCACCACATAATTCTTTATTTTCCTATTAATAATTCTGAGAGTAATACCCTTTTCTTTCTCTGGACTTGTGCCAACATACTTAGCAATCTGCTCTTCAAGTCAGTCTTGTGCCAGGTTATATGCAGAGCAAAAATTATACAGAATTATTCTACATAGCTGATGCTTTTTATCATTAAGAGGGAGGCACAGCTCTTGCGAAGTCAAGAGCCCTTATACCTTGGTCCAAGAAGTGTATCCTCCTTTCAAAGCCACTGTCTTCACAGAATCACTTGATACAATGCCTATTTTAAGTGTGTTTAGGAGGCATCACCAACAGTAAAAAAAAAAAATAAAATAAAATAAAATAAAAAGCCTATACAGATTTAGTTACTCCATAAGAAGTGAGGTGGTCATCAAAAAAAGGCTGAATGCCTTTTAGCTAAATTTAAGTAATACTGACTGACATATTTTGAAGTCTTACCAAGCAACATTCCACTTGTATTCAGTGACCAGCCAACCCGCACTTCATGTATGTCAATGTCTTTTGTATACAGATGTTTAACAGGAATCTTCTCTGTAACCTGTTTTTAAACAAAAATTGATTAAAAAGTGAAATGAAACAAGACAGATTCCTGAAGATAATATTTTGCATCACCTCTTAATACAGGCTTCAAAATATTAAGTACAAATAAGAGCATACTACATTTTCAGGTATTACTGGGGGGAGGGTTGGAGTGGGGAAAGAGTTAAAGTAGTCTTGAGTTAAAACTTTCTGGAACTACAAGTCAGCTACCAAGTACTTATATCTTCTGGCTAAGGATGTAAAGGTGCGTATGATTTCAAGAGCTTTGTTTATGGAGAGGTTGGGACATTTGAAGTATAAGGAGCCCTTCTAACTTTAAAATTAGTATTATGTTGAACAAAAAATTCAGTCGACTTTTCTGCATGGTAATATGTCAGTACTCTGCATGCATAAAAAAGTGAACATTATTCTAGCCAATACGGTACAGATTAAAGTGCAATATTACATGAAGAAATTAAGCCAGTGTTTTGGCTGTAGTGATACAAGGACAGTTTAAAGCTTAACAGTATTTCTTTTATAGCAAGGGACTGATAGCAAACAGCTCTTTAGGCAAATATTATGAGTACCAGTGTTTGCAGAACTTATGCTTTGTTTAAAGACGTATTACTCTTATGATTACAAAGAAGAAGAAAAAACCCACCCTTAAGTCCCCATAAATGTGTAAGATAGCTAGCTGCCATATATTTGCTGCTGCTCAGAGCTTCGCCAAGCTGTATCAAGTGAAGACTAACCAGAATCCTCTGCTCTTCAAAGTCATATAAGCAGAATGACGCTGACGACGTCAGACAAGACAATTGGAGCTGCAGCAGTAATGGCAATGTCAGCAGGCACCAAGAATAATTCATTAAGGGAGCCTGGGTAAAAGGAGATACCCACCTACCAACCCTTGCAGCAGCCAGGAGGCCTAAGGGCACTGCATGAAACAACAAAAAGCAACTAGAATTGTGAATGGGGTGCACGAAAGGAAAAGGCCTAAGAATTTAAGGCATAAGCTGGAGGCAGTAAGCCACGACAAGGACCAATACCTGGTAGTAATTTCAGCACCCACCCCTTTCCCAGCAGGTGGGAAGTGTTGGCTTCTTACATGGTTGTGGACCATCTATAGCACTACAGCTTCTTTCCCTTTCCCACCTTGATCAATACTGGCTTCAGCTAGGAGACGGAGTCCTGACTATTAGTTGTCTGGTAAAATTACCAACTCCTGTGGCGTAAGCAGATGACTGGGTATGGCCAGGAATGAGATTGCTGGGTTAAATTACAGTTAAATACAGTACCATTTCATTCCTTTAGACTGTAGGTGGTCTTGGCTAGTTGGTGTCAGGTAAGTTTTTCCAAGCCTTGTTTATAGCTACATGATTCAAATGTAAATCTCTGCATTTTGTAGAGTCTTTGTATAAAAGGAAGCATTTTTGCCAATTAAGTGTGTTATTTTTCATGTTTTAAATAAAATTGTTCCTCTGGTCTATAGAGAAAGATTAAAAATCCCTATGCTCTGGATTTATCCTATCTGATCTAGCTACAATTGAATGGAATTACATTTTTGTAAAATTCCTGCTATACCATGATGAGCAATAAAGTTTTTACACATGCTCAAGATCATTCCCCACTAAAACAGTAATAATCTGATTTACCTTCATTTCAAAGCAGACTTTGCCTGTAGAAACTCCATAGGAAGCTCTCCCTCCAGCCCAGAGAAAGGCAAAACTTTCCATGGTCAGAGAGGAAGCACTAAAACGGTCTCTTGAGATTTTAAAATGCAAGTCGCAGTTATCTGTCAATATAATAAAAATCATACTGTTTACTGCTATTCATATGTATGTTTGAAATTTAAACAGATTAGTTCATAAATATTGTTAAGTATGGATGTCTAATTTTGGGAACTTAAATAGGTGATTTGACTTTCAAAAGTGCCAAGCAGTTGATTGCAAGTGGGCTCAGAACTCATGAAATTATTTAGATGCCCGGATATAACTTTAGATGCAACTTTAGGCACTCATGTTAGAAAATTTTGGTATACAATTTATTAAATTTAGTTACAATTAATTTCAGAAAGTTCTATATCGTTTTCAGTATTTATTTTTTTCAAAGTTATTCCATATGAGGCATGACCGGAACACAGCTCTCCTGCTCCTGGATATGGACACTTCAATAAACCAAGTGGTTTGCTAAATATTGGTGGGGTACTTTCCCAGCCCGAAGTTTCAGATAGCTGATCAACCAGAAAGCCCCGAGGAAGCCTGATGAGTGTGTTCTGAATCAGTTTTACACATTTATTGAAGTTTCCCAATTTCCTATAAAAATCTGCTGCTAGTGAGTCTACACACCACTGTTTAAAGTTTATTTCTAATTTCTATTTACCATGTGGTGTAACAAAGGTAACTGTTTACAGGCAGACATTAAAAATAGCCTTAAACACCGACAGGTGCTAACAGTTTATACAACAGGCTCTAAAGAACAATATTAACAAGATACAAACAAGTACCAAAAGCTCTATATATGTGATTGTCTACATTACTAACAAGTAGCCATATTAATTTAGCCAATTAAAATAAAATACTCCAAATCAGATATAGGTAGCTTACACAGGGAGAGCATGGCAGAAGATGATCCTTCAAAATGAGAAAAAAGTGCCACATGGGAAAAAAACAAAACAAAAACCACACTACTAGTGCACAGTTGGAACCTTAGTCCCAAAAAAGCTGAGGCCAGTAACAGCATGGAAGCCTCTAGAAAACAAAAACAGCATATCTAAAGCCATAACAAGCCAATGTACCATGGGGACATGAGGTGTTGGATGCAGCCCTTGAAGTGCCCAAGAATGTACTAGAAGCCACAGCCACGCTAAAATTTAGCGAACTATATATTATCCTGCCCATGTACAAGACTTGCCTTCCCACTTCTATTTAGAACAGCATCTAAACGTTAAAAGTTAACAGTAACCAGTCTATGCACAAAGGAACTGTACTGTTTTACACGCTGCATCTTGTGATATTCTTAAAACTAAGGAGTCTTAACAGGACACATACTTTAGGTCTAAGATTTAAGGAGCTTAGTATTACTAGAATTCTCATTTTGTTTGTATGGAATGACCCCCTTCTACCACCATAGTGTTTGCAACTGAAATTTATTTTGTACTAGTAATAAATACTTTTCATCCATAGTTCTCAGAACACTTTCAATACTCTCCACACATTATTGCATACGAACCAGAAAGTGAAACTGATTAGAGATAAACTTGCATAGTTTTGCTTACCTGTTTTGTAAAAACATTTTAAAAATTTTAATTTAGAAAGTTACCACCACTTTGTATGGAAGTGTCAGGAATATATAAACTGGATCAATGTTGCCCAGAGGCTGACACACATAGAAATTTAATGTAATCTAAAAATTGTGGTGGACTCTAGGAAATACAGGCCACCAATACATATGTAGTGTTTCCTCATGCCACTGCTCATATTAAGTTGAAATCTGTGTAAAAATGACTGCACTTCAATGGCATAACTACTTGTGTTCAAGAAAACTAGACCACTACTAGTAGTACAATAAAACCACGGCTATTACTTAGACACTCTGAAAGGTCTATCATTAAAAGACAGCTGCTTACAACTAGCAGTTTTCAATTAAGAATGAAATCTAGTCTGTCAAGAAACACTATCAAACTGAATTAACTGCTAGGCACTTTCCAAAATATAAATAAAATTCTAAGTTTCATAATCTACATCTAACGTATTCTCTGTTGATGTGACTGTCAATCCAAATTTTCCCAGTTTTAAAGTGAAATATGAAACATTTCTATAATTTTCAGCAATAGTAATCTTAGCATTACTTGCAACACTATGTATGCTACTTTTAGACAAGTGTCATCTAGACTGTTCCCTTTAATGAAAGTGAAGGATATAATTTGCAGCTGTCTAACAGACTGGATAAGGTTTCTTTTTAAATTGACATGGTAACTGCCCATTGTGTCAAGGCACTGTAGAAAATATGGTACTGCTTTATACGGAGACCATTAAACGCTAGTGATATGTCATATCTGGAAGAACTAGTCCCATTCCCCACCCCCGCTTTACCCTTAGTGGCAGCACCAAGGGCTCACAAGTTGGTAATTCTCTTCCCTTTGACTTATGCAGAGTAGTAAATTTATAATCACACACAGTTGGAACTGGACATATTAGTGCTGAACTAATCCTGAGACTAATGCACAGCTAATACAAATGACTGATAGGTACAGCTGTACAAAGTTTGTACACAAGTGGGTAAGAATTCTCCATGCATACCAACACATTCCTACTTTGCACTAATGACTAACGACCAATTAGAAGTCAACTAATGGTTTGTTCTAACTTATTAATATCAATGCAAAGACTCCTTATTGTAGAATAGGGCTTAAGCGAACCAAAAAGCAGTTACTTCATCACCATATATACTCTCTTATCAGTGTATTGTTTAATCTTTGAAGTTGTGGTAAGCTGCCTCTTCCCTCCCAAGTTAGAAAGGCTGTACAGTATAACAGAGCCAGTACATACCATTTCATAATCAAGTTCACAATTTAAATCAGCCCACTGAGTTTCTTCACTTGGTTTATGCCCTCACTGTACATCATTCTCCTAACTTTGAATCTCATTTGTTAACACCTGTTTAGTAATTGGTGAACATTTTGGAATGCCTTAGTTATAGATTTGATATACCCCTTTGCAATATACATCCTGAAACCCCTCCCCCCCAGCCCCCAGCAAAACCAGGGGTGATTTTTTAAAGTTTAAAAGAAACACCATACAGGGAATAAAACAAAGTAAAGCCTTTCAGGCTCTCTTCATATATCATAAAAAGCAGAAAAATGGCACAAGCTCATTCTAAAGTCCTTCACAGGTAACTTTTACTGGTGAGTCAACCTGCATGTTCCTACTACAGTTCAGCAAGCTAGTTAAAAAAAAAAGGGGGGGGGGCGGGTGGCAGGGAACTTGTCACTGGAGTCAAAAAAGCAGATATACTTACAAGTATCAAGACAAACCATTGTGTCATCAAACTGTTCATCTTCCTCTTCAACAGGTGGTTGAGGAGATTTGGCCCTAAAAACCAACAGAATAAATGTTGATACATTTTCCTTAATAATGTTTTTTTACAAAGCGTAATTAATACCTAGCTTTTAGGGCTTTTCATCGATAGACCTCTAATAATATTTAGTGCTTTGAAGTTTCACTACCTGCTGTACTTGTTTTCCTCAATGTATTCAAAATATCCCCGGCCATGGTCTTCACGTGGTCTCTTCACACCTCGCTTTTTATCACCAGCTTTTTGTTGTTCTGTTTTAGTATCTCCTACAGAAAGTAATTTAAATGAAAAAAAAATGTTTAAGGTAGGTCCTGTGGAGAAATGCATTTTAATTTGTACATTCGTATTTCCCTAAGCCTTAGGTCTCCAATTAAAATTTAAGAGCACACCACCTAGCTGCCATAAAATTATACCAGCATAGAGATCTCTTAAAATTAGAGAAAAATAATAATAAAAATTATGCAAACTTGTCCTATCTGCAGCACTACGGTCTGACCATTATTGAAAGTTACTTCATGAATTGTCAGATCTGTGAAAAATAATCTGACCTCATTTATACTGTCCCTGCACAGAGAAGACACCTGCTGCGTTCAGGGCACAGAAAGGTTAAGCAGAAAGGAGACCAGTAACTCATTGCATTAAATAGATCATTTACATCTATCTTCCTTCCCCTCCCCCACCCCCTCTCCGTAGAGCACACTGGAGCTGCGCACAAGGGCACTACAGAACTGCAGCGCCTCCCTTTCCGCATGGCCAGGCGCAGCTTGGCGGCGGGGGCCGCTCTGCATGGGGCCTGGCCGCAGGGAAGGGGATTCCGCCTCCATTGTACCGAACGTTCCAAAAACGCGATCCCGAGGAGCAGGCAGGCCGGAAGCAACGTCACGCCGCGAAGCGTTCGTTTGCACAATACAGCGCGCCCCAGCGGCCCCTCCGTAACCGCCCCTCCCCCACGGCGCAGCAGCCCCTTCCCCTCGACCCCCCCGCCACGCTCGGAGACTGGCGCAACGGTCCCGCCCTCGCGCAGCGACCCCACCTGCCCGAGACCCCCGCCCGCAGCGCGGGGCCCGGCGCAGCCGCTGCGGGGAGACATGCGGCGGGGAAAGGGGCGCGCATCCCATCGCCGGCGGGGAAGGGCCCGGATCCCTCACCCCGGAAACCGCCCCCCCCCGCGCCCGGCCCCTCAGCCCCGGGGAGGGAGCTGCGGCCCGGCCACGCACTCACCCCCGACTGCCTGGGCCCCGGGGCGGCCGCCTCCGCCGCCGCCTTCCGCTTTCTTCTTGTCCTGCTGCTGCGGCTGGTACTTGGCGGCGGCGGCGGCCGGGTCGGCAGGAGCCGTTGCCGGGGGTCCCGAGGCGCCGCTTTTCCCGGGCGCCTCCTTGGCGGGCCCCCGCTGCTGGGGCTGCAGGAGCGGCGGCGGCTGCTGCTGCTGCGGGGGCTGCTGCTCCCCGTGCCCGTTGGCGTCGCCGGCCGCGGCCTCCTCCTCGTCGGCGAGCTCGTCCTCCCCCTCCTGGAAGCCCTGGTCGTCTCCGTTCTCATCCTCCTCTTCCTCCTCCTCCGAGCCGCCCGCCTCCTCCTCCATCGGGCCGCCCCCGGCCCCCGCCCGCTCGCCGTTCTCCTCGCCCAGCTCCATGGCGTCGCCATCGGCCGCCTCCATCCCCTCCTCGTCGTCGTCCTCGACGGTGGAGGCCGCGGCCTGGTCGGGGCCTCCCTCCTGGCCGATCTCGGCCGCCTCCCCCTCCATGCTGCCGTTGCCGGGCTCGGCGGCGCTGCTGGCGGGGCCTCCCCCGCCGGCCTCCTCTTGGTCTAGCGCGGCCTGGAGCCGCTCCATGAGGTCGGCCTTGAGGCCCTTGTCGGAGAGACGCCGCTTTTTCAGCTCCTCCTTCAGCTCCGACACCTTCAGCTTCTTCACGTTGACGGGCGAGCAGCTCATGGCGGCGGCGCGGTGCCTGGCGGCGCTGGGCTCGGTCGGACGGCGGCGCTGGGTCGAGGCCCCGGTGGGACGCGGGTGGGTGGGTGGCGCGGCTGGTTCGTGCGGCTGCGGCAGCTGCAGAGCGGACCCGCCTGGCGCCAAATCCTTTCACCGAGCTCGCGAGGGAGAGACGCGCCTCGCGGGGCCGCGCACGCAGCTCTGCCCGCCCCGCCCGCGCACGCAATATACCCCCTCCCTCCCCCTCTACCATAAATACCGCCAAGCGCCTCTCCAACCCCACTACCGTAAATACCCGCCCCAGCGCATTCAACCTTGCCTACCCCCAGCTTTTCCAGCGCCACAAAGGGGCAGGTATGAACCCTTCACGGGGCAGGAGGAACACGACTAGTGCTCTTAGCAAAGAGCTACTGATGTTACTTGTGCCTGTACCACTGGCTGAGTATGACCTTGGGCAAGTTCCTTCCCTGCTCTGTGCCTTGCCCCCCCCATCTGAAATATACAAAGGTAGGTGGGTATCATCATCCTTAAAGCACCAAAGGCCCTGGCCCCGAAGTGCTATATCAGTAGTAGCTATCAGCACTAATTGATAATGATTATAGACAGGAGCAGTGGAAGTGTGGCTGACTAGTAAACTGCAGCCTACAACCCTGCAGTGTCCATTTAAACCTAAGGGGGAAGGGAGGCTGTAGTCTCCCCTTCCAAAAGGGTGAATTGGAGTATTGTGTCCCTGCCCCAGGAAGCTTTGTTGTCCCTATCTACATCATCCATTAGAAAAATTAAAAAAATATATAGAGTTAGTCTGTGGAACTGAAGGCTCCAATCCTGTGAGCTGATCGATGTGCATGAACCTCTGTGCCTGCATCGATGTCATAGAATCATAGAAGATTAGGATTGGAAGAGACTCAGCAGGTCATCTAGTCCAACCCCCTGCTCAAAGCAGGACCAACCTCAACTAAATCATCCCAGCCAGGGATTTGTCAAGCCAGGCCTTAAAAACCTCTATGGATGGAGATTCCACCACCTCCCTAGGTAACCCATTCCAGTGCTTCACCACCCTCCTAGTGAAGTGATGTTTCCGAATATACAACCTAGACCTCCCCCACTGCAACTTGAGACCATTGCTCCTTGTTCTGTCATCTGCCACCTCTGAGAACAGCCAAGCTCCATCCTCTTTGGAACCCCCCTTCAGGTAGTTTAAGGCTACTATCACATTCCCCCTCACTCTTCTGCAGACTAAATAAGCCCAGTTCCCTCAGCCTCTCCTCATAAGTCATGTGCTCCAGCCCCCTAATCATTTTCACTGCCCTCCGCTGGACTCTCTCCAATTTATCCACATCATTGGGGGTGGGGGGGAAGAGAGCAAAGCTGGATGCAATACTCCAGATGTGGCCTCACCAGTGCGGAATAGAGGGGAATAATCACTTCCCTCGATCTGCTGGCAACACGCCTACTAATGCAGCCCAATATGCCGTTAGCCTTCTTGGCAACAAGGGCACACTGCTGACTCATATCCAGCTTCTCCTCCACTGTAATCCCCAGGTCCTTTTCTGCAGAACTGTCGCTTAGCCAGTAGGTTCCCAGCTTGTAGCAGTGCATGGGATTCTTCTGTCCTAAGTGCAGGACTCTGCACTTGTCCTTGTTGAACCTCATCAGATTTCTTTTGGGCCAATCCTCCAATTTGTCTAGGTCACTCTGGACCCTATCCATACCCTCCAGCGTATCTACCTCTCCCCCCCAGCTTAGTGGGGGGAGAGGTTAGTCAGTTAGGTTCCCTAAAGGGTCTGCCTGCACAGATTGGCTCACAGGATCAGAATCCAAGTGCAGACTCCAATGACCACACCTATTCAGTATGCAGAGTTCACACAAGCATGCTAGGAGCCAAGCTCCTGGATCTAAGACTTTGTCTACACACAAAAGCAGTGCCCCCTTAATCATAACAGCATAGTTATACCAGTAAACCCTTTTTAGGGTGGGCAGTTATACCAATATGAAGGTGCTTAGACCAATATAGTTTAGGCCTTGTCTACACTAGAAATGTTATACTGGTACAACTCAGGGCTTGTCTACACTACTGCATGGGGTCGATCTAAGATACCCAACTTCAGCTACGTGAATAGCGTAGCTGAAGTTGACGTACTTAGATCTACTTACCGCGGTGTCTTCACTCCGCTTGCGCTCCTCGTTCTGGTGGAGTACCAGAGTTGATGGGAGAGCACTCAGCAGTCGATTTATCGCATCTGCACTAGACACGATAAATCGACCCCCACTGGATCAATCGCTGCCCACCGATCCAGTGGGTAGTGTAGACAAGCCCTCAGTCAGATATGGGTGTGATTGTTTACCGATACAGTTATGATAGTATAATCCCTAATATGGACACAGTTATACTAGCATAAAAGCTAGCATATACTAGCTTATACTGGTATAGCTGATTTTCTTTCCTGAACTAGAATAATCAATCACTCTCTCCCTCCCCCTCTATATATATAAAGCTTTTATACCAGTGTCAGTGCATCCACTCTAAGGGTGTTGTATAGTTAAAATAGTACTGGTATAATTAAATCAGTACAATTTTTGTTTTTATAAAACCCCTCAGATTACTGTTCTGTCTTCAGATAAATTGAATCCATCCTGGTGGGAGAGGACTCTGTACCCACCAACCCAGTTGACTATCAAAGGGCCCTTGACACCATCCCCATCACAAACATGTTGAGGTGGCAGCAGCAAGGGCTAGCTCCTCCACACACAGAGTCTGTAAAGATTAGAAAAAGATCAGGGCTACCACAACCTTTTCCCTCGTATTGATGAAGGTTAATACCTTTTACATCAATTTAGCAGCTCTAAGTCAACCCTAAAATGGGTGCCTCGTATCAATCTGGACCAGCTAAAGAGAGGTAAAAGGTGTTTGGCCTTTCCCCTAGTATAGATGCAGGCTTTGTTTGGTCAGGGTTAGTCAACAGAGATAATCGAACCTTAATCTTTTCATCTAGACAAACCCAGGTACTCTGCTGAGGTAATATTGGTGTGACACTACTGTTCCGGGCAAGGTGGTGGTGGGGGTTCAGCATTAACCTATTAAAATGAAAGAGCAGTTCAGACCTTACAGAGGCTATGTCTACACTACAAATTCCTTTGATATAATTTAAGTCACTCAGGGGATGTGAATAATCCACACCTCTGAGCGATGTAAATTATACGGACCTAAGTGCCACTGTAGATAGTGCTATGTTGGCGGGAGAGCAGTAGCTATGTCTTCTCCTGCCAACATAGCTACCCCCTCTCATGGAGGCAAGAGTTATTAAATCGATGGGAGAGCTCTCTTCTCTCAGCTTAGAGCATCTTCACCAGAAGTGCTACCAGCACAGCTGCATCAGTGCAGGTGTGCCACTGTAAATGATGTCATGTAGACATAGCCAGAGCTATTGTTTCAAATGCCTTCCTGAAGTTTGCAGACAACACTGCATCAGTTTACAAGCCATTTTCCAGGTTCTCTTTGCAACCAGGAAAGGTAGAAACTTTTAAAAAATGAATTAAGTTCTGATATCACATGACTCTACTGAGCGGGGCCCTACACACTAAAGCCATATTCATGTCCTAATCTGGCGCCCATCGAAACAAAAATCATAGCTTCCACCAGGACTTTTACTCCCTAGCCTCAGATCCAAACTTTACATATTGATGGGCTCCTTCTAGCCTAGGCTCTAGATCCTGCCTTAATCCACCCATCAGCACATACATCTATATTTAAAAGGTACCCTCATTTTGACTTAGGGGTATAGGCATACATTGAAGACAATTGTTAAAAAAAAAAAACAACGCATCTGCATTTTTCAAGAGATCTGCTCCCTTTACGTATTCAATCATGTCTGCCAACTTTAGTAGCACATTCTTACTGCTTTATACTTGTGTAACCCTGGAGAATCAAAACAGCTAAGAGCTTTCATGCACATCAAAAGATTTACTTACCCCAAAACATTTAAAATTACATGTCTAAAGTTAGGATCCTAAAATAATAGTTAGACACCTAAATAGAAAGTCTAGTTTTACAAAGCCACTTAACACATGCAGCACCCATTGGGAGGTGGGTTGCTCAGCCCCTCTGATCATTGAGCCACTTTTACTTAGCCCTGGTCTACACCTAAAACTTAGATCAATATGGCTACATTACTCAGGGTTGTGAAAAATTCTGACCTAGGCACCCATACAGACACCACTAGCTACTGCCTCTTGGAGTGCTGGATTAACTATAGTGAGGGGAAAAAACCCTTCCAACACTGTAAAGCAAGTGCCCACACTATGGCCCTGCAGCAACATCGCTGCAGCTGTGCTGTTGTAGTGTAAACATGCCCTAAGTTTGGACCAGTAATAAATGCAGGATCAAATTATGCCTACAGTTACACCCGTGCAAAACGATGTTCAATAGATTTTCACAGGTGTAGCTGAGGGCAGGTTTTGGTCTACACCACCTTTATTACTGGTGATTATGTCTGAGGAGAGAACCCAGTTTGATTTTCAAATCCCAGGAGATTGTCTCATTGGCAGTTAGAAAAGTTTTTTTCCTGTAGAAACTGAAAAAAAAATTATATGAAATGATTGAGACAGACAGAACCCCATGTAGCATTTTTTGTACTTTTAAGAGTAGAACCATATTGATGCTAGATATATTATCATACAGTCATTTTGTTAAAGCAAGACAATGTTTTTCCAAACCAAGAGACTCACTAGTCCTGAGTCCTGTAAATGTTTCAGAACTTTAGCTTTTTGGGGGGGGGGGGGGGGCTATTTTAAAAACAAAAAATGTAATTAATGGGGAATATGCTTTCCTCATCCTTCTCTTCTGCAGCTCAGGCAGCCATCCCCAATTTCTGGCCTGCCAAGCACAGAGGTTTTTCCTTATCCAAAGCATTTATGTTTGGAAGATTATGAACCTCTGAAAATAGGGAGTTCTAGTAGAAACTGTTCTGCAACCATAAAACTTACAAAGTTACTCAGATAGCATGACTGATATAAAAACCCAGCATCAATGCTAGTCACAAATCTCTGTATTCTAGACCTTATGTCCCATACCCTTCTGTTGCATGATATAAGACAGCCCTGTGTATTTAAACTGAAAAGGGGACAAGCTTCTATAAATAGACATAACCATCATACCCCAATTTCTTTCTGTGTCTATTTTCCCTTCTACTTATT